GTAAAGAATGGTGGCCCTCTTTACTTAACATATCACTCAAATGACTTTCTTAACTGATTAATTATCCATTAATCCACTAAGCGAGTACTTCTCCACTATTCCAAACCATTACAAATATTAATCAAAACAAATGTTCACAATGGTGTCTCCACTTGTCTTACTTGGTAAAGAAACAAGCATTGTGTTCCAGTTTTTCAGGAGATAATTCGGTAAGATGAAAATAGAAAACTGTAAAATATCAAAAAGTCAAAAACCAAACTAACCAAGGAATCTCCGCTCAGCTTCCTGTGAACATTACTCTAATTAGTTTCAATGTGTTGCATCAGTAATGGAAAAAGAACTTCAAAAGATGATAACATGAATGATCTTCTTGTGCCGTCAAACCCAATTCTCTACATATGGATATCCAAAAATCAGGAAACAACTGTGAACAGGTCTGAGTGGTGGTGTTGCATGATGCAGCGGAAGACCATATTTTCCTTCTTTTCTTTAACACCTATCTAGGAAACTACATTAGTAAAGGCAGCAGCACCTCCATGGCATTAAAACATATCTAAATTGAAACGCTGAGTGCTAATGAATAGAGGTAGGAGCGGCATCATTAATGAAGCACAGAGGAGTTTAAAATAAATGTACTGCTGCTGACATGCTGAACAGATTAATTTACTTAGATATATTTAAAAGTGCTTAGTATGGAGCACGTAAAAGGGTGCAGTGCATTGCTGATGTTAAAATACTTTTTGTTTTGTAATTAGGAGCTTGTTGCACAAATCTAGTTTCCCTGTAGTGGTTGCTGTTAGTGTTCCTGCTGCTATTTGTTATTACAACACAGAGGATTCCCTGTATCCCTAATGCACACTTTCAACTGTGCTTCTTGTGAAATAGCTTTGAGCTAATATTCATGTCTCGGTTTACTGATAACACTGTCTTGTTATTTAAATTTGACAAAGCTACTCAACCCTATCCGTCAGCATTGTAGTACTTACAAATGTGAAGAGATAATCACAGAACAGTGACGGGTTGTATCAACAGGTTAAATCTTTTTCAAAACAAAAAACATGAGACAAACAAAAATAAAAGAGCAGCAAAGACAAACCACTGATTCAGATTGATGCTGACATTTAATTAGCCGAGGTAATTTCAAGGTTTTGTTGATGGAAAACAGTTGTTTTTGAAATGTGAATAGTTAAGACAAACAACACTTGAGCCGCTATAAGATCATCTGACTCGGTAGTAGCAGGATCAGGAGCTGTATCATGTCGCCCTGGTTGTCACGTAACAGACAGGGACAGACAAGTAAAATGAAAGTGAATACGAATGTCCTCGGTGTATCCTGGCATATGTTTTCAAAAATAGATACAGAAAAAGTAATGAATTAAAATAGTGACAGATGGCTTCTTGATGTCCTTTTGATAGTCTGATTCCTAATTAACTAAAGAAACGAATATGCATGTAAACGTACTAATTTACTGATGGAAGTGTACTTTAGGCTCACCACCAGTGAACAGTGGAGCAGCAGGGGATACACATGCAGCAACAGTTCCTGGGTGGATACACATGCCTCTCAGACCAATGGGCGGGGATGACTACTTCTCTCAAAATGGCTAAAAAATGAACCAAATAATAGATAAACAGAGCAAAAACCAAATAATTGAAATACCGTAGTGTTAAGGCTCTAATAAGGTGTGTGTATAGATAGCCACAGGAAACGCTGAGGTGTGAATTTGCTTTAAAAAAGTTGCCACACACCCGCAACACCTGCTCCAACAGCAAATGCAACTTGCTGATAATACAGACATAGCTGCTATGGGCAGGTCCAGATCTCCTTACTCAACAGGCCTGCAGTGCAGGGTGTGGAAATGTCCTGCGGTTAATGTTCTATATCTTGATCGCCATTTCCTGCAACAGCTGGATGCCCATTTTGGCTCCGGAAATACAGAGTGGCTTTTCCTCGTCACATTTTGATTGGAATGTTAACCTAGGTCTATTTTTACCAGTACACTAGGAGAAGAGTGGCGAATGTATGAAAATCCCGTATGCGAGGCCGTCGCAGCACTGTGAAAAGTTCTCACAATCAGATTGCTTACCTTGCACTCATTGCAAGTGTCTTATCAGAAACTTCTAGCTTGACGACTTGGCGACTTTCTCGCTACATTTGGCGAGATGGGCTGGGTTTTTTGGTTGAATCATTTGAGGTACGAGAAATTATATATTTTTGACACTTTCTCTTAGAAATCTCCCATAACCAAGTCAAATAGTACATTTTGATTTAAAGCAGAAAAACAATGCATGTGTTTCCATCCCTTGATTCTGATCCGATTCAAAATGTAATGGGTGCTATATTTGGCCCTTCCATTAATGTTCCCAAAACTTTTTTTTTACGTAATTCCGACAAACCAAAACATACCTCTTTGGCCGAGGTATAATGACAAAAACAACAACAAAATAATATTTGAATCATAAAAACGTTATATTTTACAGTATAGTTTGTTCCTTCTGAAGGCTTTGAGGCTACTTAAGTCGGTAGCATCCTGCAGAGACCCTGGGAAATCCCAGCTATGCCACTCACTGGAGACAGCTGCCACACGCACAGCAGAGCCCGCGTGGCATCCTACTCTTAATGGAGCAACAACCCTGTGATCTCGCCTCGTGGGACCTTCCTTTTAGTGCATCCAGCTAAACAGACCTCGTAAACAAACTTTAAGCCCAAGTTCCTCCTTATCTTCCATCTAGAGATTTCCAATGCACTCGACTTTCTAAACAACGCAAGCAAATAAGCAAAGTAAAAGTGTTCCTGAGGACAAACACAGATGCCTTAGACTGATCCGATGGCATCCAGATGGTAGAGTTGAACACTTTGATTAAAGGCATTATCTCAACTGTGCTTTTTACTTTGTTCTTTCCTGTTTAACAGTCAAGTCAACACTCATCCAGCTGAAGACGAAACCCATGTCTTTGCTGCTTTTACCAAAAATACTAAGTGTACATTTTGTTAACAGAAAGACTGATGTGGAACCGATCATTTAAAACAAAATGTAGTGTATCTCCACAAACACAAACCAAACGGTCTGCAGTCAAGCTAAGTAAATGTCATAATTATTGCAGGTATTTGATGTTAATCGAAAGAGCGGACAACTCTTTAAAGTGATGACAAAACATCTTTGATGATGAGTAAAAGTATGATGTCAACATACATAAGTGTACAGGCCTTATGTAAAGATCGTAATCAGGAAATGGGCATTAAATGTTAACGCCAATGACGGTTTCTCCCTTTGTCCTTCTCTTTTTCCCTTAAATCAATGCTGCCTTGCCTTGCATCAAAAATGTGACATGTTGAAGCCGAGACTGGCTTAACTAAAGAAACCTCCTGCGGTCTGTCTAGATCCTTTGAACCTCCTGTTTAACTACTGCATAAACAGCACTAATTAAAACTAAATCACCATAATAGACCCTTTGTCACAAAAAGCTGCTCCACACTGCGGCTCGCTTTGATCCGAGAGAAAACCCTGAAAGGAAAGAGAAACGCTGACAGAACCCTGTCATTGTGACATCTATCCTTATTTCTATTTCAGTCTGATATTTCACAACCTGTCTCCTCACTGCCACACCTATCTTCATTTTCTTCTGACAGACTTCAGGTTGATATTTTTAACTGCCTATCTTTCTATCTCTCAAGACATTAAGAAATCCCTGTCAGCGCCGCTCCAACTCAGAGGTCAAATGCAGTCGTGCAAGAACAGTTGGTGTCCATTTCACCAAGGATTGTATTAATATAATGGATCATTAAAAATCTTGACAAGGTTATTTATGCACATTTAAAAGAAAATCAAAAAGTAAACATGTTCATCAGCAAAAATAAATAGAAAAGCAAAATTAGTCAATATTGAGATGGGATATTTGGCATTTCTTTCCGTATTTAAGATCTTTTTACAACATTTAATTTTTCTAATAATCAAGATTTACATAAAGGAAGAAGTGCTTTATGTAATTAAATTAATACGCATTCTCAAATGGCATTATAAATAAATGATTTGTCTGAATAAATATGGTATATTATTCATTCTCAATTGTATTAATATTAATTAAATTGTAAAGGTTGTGATTGCGCAGTAACTGACTTTAAAACGGTAGACTGCCGGTGACAAAACATGGAGAGATTAAAGTCATTTGGAGGATTAGTATTTCTTTCAAGCTTTGTGCTTGGTTAGTTTGGGAAGCATCTTACTTGACATGGGAATTTAATCTTATTCATTTCCAAGCTGAATTAATTTAGCAGTAGTGTCAAAGGACAATTTTCATACGAGTAGCGTTAATGTTGCAGATCTTAAGAGCCAAACTCATTTACTGCCAGAGAGGAAGAAATGACTAATGTTGGAGATCACTTACGTTTTGGAACTGCTTCAACCTCAACTTGCTCCAAAACATCAGAGTGCAAAGTTATAAAAAACGATAAGATAGTGCATTCATAGCATCTTTATCCAAAATCCTAAAAATAGGCTCATTGGCGACGGTCTTTTTAAGGTTATATGTCGGTGGCGGTCATCTGCCATGGGTGGAGCCATGACACGCGAACGTACGCAAACTACTCAAGTTCATCCGACAAAAAGGACAAATCTATCTTCAGAAGTTGCCTCATTTTATTTAATTTATTATAGTAGTACTACTACGAAACTCTTTTTGATTAATGTTCAACCAAAACATCACTAAAAGGAAGTATTCTGCATTCTGGAAGCATTCTAAGTTGTGTTTGGGGGTGCGACTGACCATTGATTTTACCGATTTAAAAATTCGGCAGAACTGAAAAACATTCATTTGGTTAGCAAACGTGTAAAAGTTAATTTTCGACATTCAAGACGACACTTTAAATATTTTACTCTGATTGGCAGCAGTTACACATAGCACCATCAACCTCTCTAAAGAAAGTGAGACATGACCTTTGACATTTTCTTGTTCTGTGGCTCAACACAACACGTATGACTGGTGGTACGTACAAGACTTACCCGTCTGCGACAGAAAGGCAAACCCTGGGCAATGATGTTGATGCTAAATATCTTGAGTATTTTCTGAGGGGGTAACGGTTCCGTGGCAACGTCCTTGGCTTCTGCCCTGGCAAGTGGCTGCTTCTCCACGTCGGATGAAGTTTTCTCTTTCCCAAAGGAAACATTTGGCATCTTTCTCCGACCACCAGACGAGAAACGCGGGATATGGCAATGCCTCAGCATTGCAAAGTAGGCTGGCTACTGGATCATATCCCAGATGGCGTTCCGAAACCTGGCCCACTACACGTACAAGCCGATAACTTTTCTCAAATCACTGTAGCAACTTCCTTGGACCTGAAAACCCTTGTCCAGACGTCTCAATACTGTGCTCGATCAGGCACCTAACTACCACTTCACCTACCTACTCAGGACTCATCTCCCTGCTGACTGGCACCCTTTAAAATATCTCTGGAGTGTGAGGTCACTGTTGCGCTCAAGCCAGGCGGAGCAGCTGCCGTCAGGGCCTGAAAAGAGGATGGACAAACTCAGCCTCTCCCCCTCAGACAGGCACCGTGGAATCTGCTCTCATGACCCCTCGGTGGGGGGATGTGTATCAGCAGTCGTCCGACGCAGCTCACGTGTCCGGAGAGCTTCCTCATTGTGGTCATTCTCTGACCCCCCTCTGGACCTCCCAACTTAGTGAACTACATCACCACTGAGCCCAGTTAACTTTACGCCATTGAAAACTGTCAGCATACAAAACAGCAGATTACTATATCCTGGTCTGAATCACATTTGTCAAGTGTAAAGCTAGGATTTGTTTTATGCTAACCTTCTCTGACTCTCCCATGAACCAAGGTGTTCAGGAATGTCAGTAACTCTGTCTATGTCAGCAAAGTGGCTGAGGATATTTCAGGAGACGATCACGCAGCTTTTCAATATTAGCATGTGTGACACATGCACTAAAACAAGGACTTACTTGAGCAAGTGTCTAGAGGGATTGACTTTTAATTATATAGAAGTGTGTGAGAAGCATTTTCATTTAAACCTTGCAACACAGACGGAATAAGGAAAAAAGGTATAAGGGAGTATTAGGGCAGGAGTTGGGAACGTTTAATATGACTTTTTGTATGTCTCAAACCATGATTTGGCTGCAGTTTGGAAACTTTTGTAGAATAGGTTCTTAGAGTAAATGTATTTTGTTACTGGTTAAGATCAACATTTCAAAAGGCTGATTCCAACAGAAAATGAATATGAAGCAGAACACCATTAACCATCTATGATGAATATGGATAAATCTACCGAAAGAGCAAGTGGCAAGAGACAGCCTTCTCTGTGTGCATTTAAATGTCTGAACACATGGTAACAGGGAGACCTACGGGGCTTAACCTCTCTTCTATTCTCACATCCACCATTGTTTGAGGAGGATTACAGAGCCAGAACATCTATCAGAGAGGACTGACACACCAGGCCGCTGGACGCCATTGAGTGTTTGTGGCGGACCCACACCCACAGTTTTTACAGTATGTTCAGCAAAATTGGAGCAAGTTGGCGCCTTATCGGCAGCTGTTCAGCCAATTGAGCATGTTGAACAAACAGCAGAGGCTGGGGAGAGAGAGATCCCTGAATGAACATCCAGCTGTCCAAATTAGCAGTGGTTTGACTATTAATGCAGTCTTTCCTGCTTCTTCATAAGTAGTACACTGTAGTATGACAACAGTGCAAGCAAGGCAACACTTTGTAGAGATTTGATATTAATAATCTTCCTCATTTGTATTCCAAGCATATAAACTAGACTCAATCGAATCCCGGTGGGTCCGTTCTAAACATACGGTCACACAATCAGTAAAAACATGGCTTCAAGTTGCTATCATTTGTCGTCTGATACTATTATCTGGAATAATAGTTCTAAAAATGGTTGTAAAATACTTTGAGACCTGACGATTGTAGTGCCTGGTATAAAAAGATTTATATTTATATGAGCATAGTGCTGGCTTAAATCTAAGTGAACGAGAGATGTAGTGAAAATTTGTAGGATGGAATTTAAATATTCCCATACCTTTACTAAAAGAGCAGAATATACTGCTTATGCATTTCAGCTGTGAGCTCTATCAGCTTCAATATGTTCAGCGTGTTCACATGTGCAACTTCATTAGATGCAATCGGTTGATACGTTGGCCTTTGTTGGCACAAGGTCTTTGGGGTTAGCCTGGAGCCTTACCACACCTATGTCTTATGAGAACTAAACTAGAAAGTTATTTCTTTCAACACAGAGAACAAAGTATTTCCATACTAAGCAACAAGGAAAAACTAATCTGACAAAAGGCAAGCTTGTTCGTGTTTGATTGGATTACATCATCATTTCATTTCCCTACTTAGTTTCCAAACTATGACTTGTGGGGTTACTTGAGCTTTCAGACTAATCATAGGTCATACAGCTATGTGAGAGACACACTGTTCCAGGCGCTACAACATGATCAGGCCAAGAAACTCGTTAAGTTGCAAGCCTTGCAAGAATATTAACCTTGGAGCTAGGGCTGGGTTATAAAGAAAGAAATACCTCAATTGCTACATTATTGTAAGGTTAACTATTGGTGCCGTCACAAAATATTTTAACAATTGGATTTCATATATATGAAATGCATCAGTAATGTGGATATAATGGATACGTGGGTAAATAAGAGAACAGCTAGAACAGTGTGGTATGTTCAGAAAATCACCTACATTTCCTGTAATGCAGCATTTAACCCAGAATAAAGAAAATAGTTATGTGACCTTACGGTCTAATGGCGCTTTTCCACTGCAGGACCTAGCACGGCTTAGTACGGTATGGTTAGGCCTTGGTAGGCCAGGCTCACTTTATGCAGCGTTTCCATTACAGTTTAGTTACTGGGGTAGTTCATTTCATTTCAAACCTTTATTTACCCAGGTGTATCCCATTGAGATCATTGATCTCTTTTTCAAGGGAGACCTGCTCAAGTAGGTTCCACATGAAACATAAAAACATAAACAGAACAACAAAAAGGACATCTTACAGCATCATTACAGGGATTACAATTTACAATAACTATCCACATGAGCAGGTACCAACAGCTTCCGATTGAGTAGCATCCAAGTAGTAACTATAGTAACGCAGTGTAGGCGGGGGGATCGGCTATTTGGCGGGCGGAGCGACGCTGCGTAATTCTGCCGTGACGTCATCTTCAATGCGAACCACAAAACCAAAACATCAGCCGTTAGCTGTTAGCACTCAGAGCTCACAGCTCCTCATATCTGCTCAGAAACTAGACAAAAGTTAAACATGTACAAACCACAGAATGTCTGTGTCATGGCGAATACAGTCGCTGATTTAAATATGTCTGTCGGCCGTTGTTGTGAGTGTGGACGGAGCATATACAACGTTAGCTTAGCCTGATCAATCCGATCTCCATTCAGGAAACACCCATTTAAAAAGGTTTTTCGCCTGCCGTCTTGTCTTGTCTGCAGACCGGTATCAGTATGTTGTTACTTCGGCATCATTT